TATATATATATATATATATATATATGTATGTTTTTCTGAGGCAAAAAAGGGAATCAGCTTCCCACGGTGTTTGTCAGATGGAATAAAAATGGATGCCTCTCAGCTACAGACATGATTACACTCATGAATCAACATGTCATCCTGGTTCTGCAGCAGCTATTGTTGATTCTGCAAACCCAAATTAATCAGCTGAATTCATGCAGTTTATCGTTCTTCCCTCTTGAGTCCTTTACACTTAAAAAGCTCTTCTTCTGAGCGCTCTGCCTCTTCTGAAGAGAAGAAAAGCTGTTGAGGTTTCACAGGTGTAACAATAGCTTGATATCCAGCCCAGAACACCTGCTTTCTATTTTAAAGTGGTTTAAATCAATAGTTATTCAGAGTTTAGGCTGCTTTTTCTCCATCATAACCATTTTAAAGTACTGGAGACATAAAAGTAACTGAAAAGGTTGAATCTTACCTCCAATCTCTTGAGCTCACATTTTTATTGAACATTCTTTCTGCCGATCATAAATGCAATAAAAGGGACAGAACGCTACATTTATGCTGTAACAGTTTGCAAAGGAAGATTAGGTTTCTTCTCAATGTTAATAACATGAAGTAATGCTGCAGAGAGGAAGTGGAGCTAAATTAGTTTGGATTACTAAAAGCCTAATTAAAAACAAAATAAATAAAAAAAACAAACAAAAAAGAAAACGAAAAAACAAAAACGTCGGTATTTGTGTCTCTATGCCATTCAACCTCGGACTGCCTAGAAATGCACAGAAATCTTTCTAGGTTTTTATTTGGTAAGGTTTTATTCCTGCCTTGCATATGCAATGAAAAAATAGTTCTACTTTTGGTTATATACTAATAAAAATTTCAGTAGATTTTGCATTCTGTCTAATGTAGACAGTAATGGCAGCAAAAAGAGAAGACAGCTTAGGTGGTGAGAGGTCCGTTAATGTAGGAAAACATATCAAAGAAGTTGAGAGAAATGAGAGGAAGAACAGATAAAAATGGCAAAATGGGGAAACGGAATAATTTAGGGTAGAAGGAAAGAAAGGACAGAGGAGCAGAGAGCAGTGGAGAAAAAGCATCTTAACCTGGTGTGACGGGGCGTGTGCTCGTAAATAAACATCAGCCCGCGATTATTCCGAGCACGGACGCCCAGACCGTGAGGCCCTGAGGTTAGAGTGGGCCCATACCTGGCTCTCTCCGTCAAACATACAAAACACATCTACATCCACCCATACAAGGACATGGCGCTTGGAGCAAAGCCCACTGGATTGCTGGTGCAAGCATGCAAACACCGCAGAATAATGAGATGGAGGCGTTTCCCTCATAGGGGACATTAAACCCCTCACTCCTACATGTATGGAGAAACAAACGCATCTACAGACATGAGCCCAGAAATGCACACAAACACAAGAGAAAAAAACCTTGTATACACCTGCAGCAAACTGATTAAAAAAGAAAATCAACTTCCACCTTCAAACACAGACGTGTTTTTAAGGCTTAGCTGTGTGCAGACGTCCAGTCATCCCTGGTTTAAACGCCGTCATCCATTAAATCTCCCATTTTTACTCTTTAGGAGAAATAACTAATGAGTTCAAACATAAAGATGCACAATTATCGTCAGCGACAAAACAAGATGCAAGGTGTTCAACCTGCTCATTAAATTAGTTTTGATTTAGGCTGTAAACAGGGAGAGCAGGAAAAACAGGTAAGGAACAGAAGGTTATTTCCTCTTTACCACCTTTTGAAGGAAGAATCTTGAAACAAACTATTATTACAGACTCCAACGATGACTGATGAGTGGATGTACTTACTGCTCAATGCTGGGAGAGAGGTAGAGTTTAGGGAAGACCTGAGTAGCTTCAGCATCCTCAAAGCTGACCGAGAGCAGAGCCACATCCTCTCCTGGGTCCAGAGCAGTGTCCTGGCAGAGACAAGGGGAAAGTCAGAGGCCAAAGCTTTCATCACAATATATTTCCTAAAGTCAGTCCATATAATTCCAACTTATAAACAAGATAACCTGCCAGAGACAACAGAGGCCTATCTAAACCTCTAAGTGTTATTATCCAGTCCATTCAGCTCTTCCAGTATAACATTTTTGAATTTATTGGTCAAAAAAAAAAAAAAAGAATCCACATCTATAACCGCATTCTGTTGACGTCAGGCCGTCCTACATGCTCGTCCTGTCAGCCATCTTGCCTGCGTATATCTGTGGTGAGCTACGGCTTCAGGCAGTCATCGAAGCTCAGCTTTCTCACCGCGGTTCTTTGAAAATGGCCGACGGTCGGAAGAGAAAAGGTGTTGACCAAGCATATGAGAAGAAAAGAAAGGCCTCAGCAGAGGCAGATATATCCCAGAATGCTTTGCGTAAAGAGCTCTCCTTGCAAAGCATTATGGGATTTGCTGTCACAGCGGACCGCTGTCACCATTGACTGTCGTTACCCGACAGCGGCGACTAATAACAAAGATGCTGATGATACCAGGCAGTGGAGGGAGTCACGTGACCACCGGCGAGCAAAAAGTAGTGATCTTCTGTCCGAACTGTCAGTTAAATGAGTTCACTATACAATCCACTATATAGTCCACACCCGAACACATGTAGATTTAGGGGTTACGGCGGACGTTCGGGGGAGTGAGCTTGAATGAGATATAAGAACAGAATCTTTTATACAGAGCGTGCACGAGGAGAAATGGGTTTGCGCACACTCTTGCACGCATTTTTTTTAGGTGTTCCCTCTCCCTTGTGCATGTCCATTTTTTTAAAGTGGCAAGGGTGGATCTTTTAAAAAAATCGGGAAAATCATCAACAATACCTTTAAGTTTCACCTGGTTTAATTTACTGAATAATCTCCTTTAAGGTTTTTCCATGTAGAGCGGTGATACATATTTACTGCATACTCATACTCTGGAGTTGACCAAAGTATTGGTTACAAGTCAGGGGCAGAAATATCATGACATCCCAGAAAAGAAGCTGGGTGTCTGATACTGATACTGATTGAAAGTGCATTGTTTGGGTTTTCACTTGAATCTTATTTGAGTTTCATCCATCTTGGATTTAAATACCTGTTCCTTTCCACATTGGATCTTGGATTTTTCTTTATTATTTTCATAACTCAGCTGGGAGGTGCTAACTGGCTTAGCTCATTACTTCCTCCTTTACCCCTGCAAACATGTACTGTATCATACTTCTGGTTTGTATTCAACAAAATAAGGTCCTGGTGTATTAAGTTAATAAATGCCATATTACAAAGTAAAGTTTGTAATATGACAAGCTAAAGTAAAGTTTTCCAGCATTTTTATTGTCATTCCACTGTCACAAGTACAGTGCAATCAAATTCCCTCACTAGGCCGCCACTCCCCATACAAAAACCCTCAAGCCAGCAGTAGACGTAGCTTCGGCCCAATGACAATGGATTAAAGGGGTCATGTTGCAATATGTTGATATAGAGTCCTCATTTCAAAAGCTTCGCATTGTTTTCTCTCCAACCGAGGCTTTCATCTTCTCTATTCTGGTTTTTTAAACCTATTACTGTTACAAAAACAAGTTTGCTTCTATAAAATAAAATAAAATAAAATAAAGCAGTCCTGCTGAAGGTTTACTCAGAAATAGAATAAATGAAACTAAAATCCTCTTCTAACCTGCTTCCATCCTTAATTAAACTATAGGTGCTGGGCTCTGATGGCTTGGAAAATGCAGCTTATCTTAGTGCAGCACCTGAACACATCATATGCAGATGCAAGGAGAGGACTGAGGCTGGTTACTGGAGCTAAGTCACCTTTTACCACCACCACCATCATTTAGCTAGAGAAGTGTTTACAGTAACCTTCATTAATCTATTGGCAGGAAAAATCAATGAGCAGAGAGTTGGTTGAACAGCCCTGAACAATGGAAGGACGATGAAAACCAACAGGAACCAGTAGCAGCATCTGCTTTGCTTCATACAACATTAGATTCAACAGCTGCACCATGAGTCTGAGCTTCTGACTGGGAGTACAATTAAAATCACGTCTACAATGCAGCTGTTCCCTGTGGACTTCTAGCTCTCTGAGGCGGTAGTTTTTTCTTCTAGGTTTTGTTTTTCTTTCTTTCTTGGAGCGTGGCTTCTTCTATTAGGGCAATTCCACATCAGGTCCTATTCTGGACTCCGGCTCTCATCAGGCTCTGCAGCGTTAATCAAATCTCTTACAGATGGTTTGAACTCATCCAATTGTTATAATCGTAGCCTGCCTTGGTGAGAGGAAATCTAACCACCATACATGACGGACGGAGGCACAGTGCAACCAGTCTGTTAGGAAGGCTGTTAACTAACACAAGCTTTGGACTGCTGATCCCAGTTCTAAGCTAAACCCTACATTCCTTTAGAGAACATTTCCTTCCCAACTAGACTGGAAGTAATCTATCAGCAGTTAATTTGATAATTGTTTAATCAAGGAACAAGGAAATGAAGCAGATAGGGAGAAATCAATGAGAATAGTTGCAGCCCTGAGTGATATACAGATGTGGAATGAAAAGATGCATTCATTAGCAGATGATTATTGGTAGAGAGGAAAAGCTCGACTGAGTGTCACACAGTCTGCCGTGCCACAGCTGATAAATGAGCGGCTCCAGACAGAAGAAGCAGGGAGGCAGAGCAAGACGGCATCCAAAAGTGTTGCCTGATGAAATCAGCTCACATCAGTGCAGAGCGCATCAGTAAACAAGAACTGCTCTCTGCCTCACAGCAGCGCTGGGGGCTGCGCTGGCTGACAATATGGGACAGATAGGAACAGGCATGGAAGTGGGGAGTGGGCTCTGGGAGAACATTGCTTTGCTCCAGTTTGTAGCTGTCATTTCCGGTTTTCATCTTTAGAGGTGATTTAATGAATGCTTCCTTTAGACTGGGAGAGAGTAAACAGACGGATGAGAACCAACAGAAAGGTGAGAGGTTCAGGAGACGCTCACAGGACGACTCTGAACAGGAGGCGGAGGGTTGCCCTTCATTCTGGTCAGACCGAAGGCTCTGAGGGAAGGCGAGTCCCTTTGTGGGATGATTCAGACTGATCTTGTCCCAGAAGACAGAGAAAATCTGTCACAAGTCATTCTGAATCAGGGAAACAAACCAAATCCAAAGGCAGACCCTTTATCTTTAAGCTAATGCCGTTCTAAATTAATGTGCTTTTTAGAGAACTGAACTAAACAGACATAAATAGCTGTTTTTGCTCAGTGAACTCAGAAATATTGCATAAGTTACTTTTACAAATAAAAGTTTTTTGTTTGTTTTTTTCTTCTGCCCAGCATCACTGAAAACAGAAAACGTACGTTTTGGATTTGTGACGCACAGAACCCGGTTTGGAAGGAATGTAACTTTTTTGTAATTGTGAAAGACATACGAAAAAGAAAAGCTGTTTTTAATCACATTCCTTCCAATTCTTTTATTAGGAGAATTACAAGGCAGAGCGATTCATGATTGTAGTGAGCAAAATGCACGTTTTCGGTGAATGCAGTAAAGCTGAAGCTCCGCCCATCCTGCGAAGTACGCAAAGCTAAATTCGCAGAGGTTGAAATATCTGCACCTTTGTGCATATCGGTGCCCAGCCAGTCAGTTTGTCCCAGTTCTGGTGCTCTATGCTGGGTTGCTCTGATCTCTTGTTTCTCTTGTCTGAGCTCCAGAACATAAGAACAGTTTTAACTTTCCTTAACCTGCATGGAAAGTGGCTGTGAACCAGCTGTAACTCTGGACTCCTCCAACTGGGAGCCTCTTTGCAGCATCTGTTGCACCTGGAGACGGCAGCAGCTTTGTTCGACTTTCCAAGTGAATAAAAAAATGACGACTCACTCTGTAAAATCTAGGTCTGCCATGTTGAGGTGAAGCAGCCAACTAACAGATGACGCGGCGAAGCCTTTCCCCACCCATTTAATTGATGACTGTCACAAAACTCGCTATTTTTTTTTCGCAGGTCTTGTGTTTTGATGGGAACGCACCATAATATTACAGATATTAATTTATCAAACTGCTACAATCTAATGAAACAGAACCGCTATGCAGATAATAACTCAGGAAATGGGATCCAGATAATGTCTTTTCAAACCTTTCCCTAATCTGCCTGAGATGCTTTATGCAGGTTTAGTCATTACTGCAGAATTGATTATCATAATCACAGAAAATTACAAGTTATAATAAACTGAATGATTGTTTCTTAGGTTATTTCCTTAAACATCATGGTGCAAAATACAACTTTCAAAGTAAAGTAAATTGTAGAGATGCAATGATTTTTTCTAGAGATGGTTTTAGTTACGGAATAGACAGAGAAGTAAAGGAATCCTCTTTAAGTACGGTGGTTATCTGGATGCGTTTTAAAATTCTGTTGCTTTTCGTCTCACAAAACCAAACAAACCAAAATGATCCTGCAAGCAAACGTTGACCTTTCAGTCTCCTTGCCTTGAAAGGAAAGAAAGAAAAACATCACAGCATAATGAAAGATAAGCCTCCAAATGACCAATAATGGTTCTCCTTTTATAGCATATCCACTGGAGGCTGATTGAAAGTATTAAAAAAAGGTTTTGCTGCAGAGGCTACAGGCTGGACTTTAATGAAGAGATTTTATTGTTTAGTAATGAGCATGAAATCCGAGGCAAACATCCTGTACTAATATCTGAGGCAGAATTTACTATATGCCCCCAAGAAGATGAGTCAAGTCTTCAAGGTCTGTCTTTACGAGAAGGGCAGAGGAGGAAGTACGTTAACGTAGAAGACAGAGGGGCCTCCCAGTCAACCCTCTTCACATGTCCACCACCCAACATCCTCCTACAATCTTAAAGCGCACAAAGACACACAGAGTGTGCCTGTCCTTGTGCTTTTGATGTCCCGCCCTCTGGCATCTCCTCAGCATGGCGTGTGACAGGTTGGAAATGTGACAGCTGTCCTTATGCCGGACCGAGTCTGG